TCATATTTTTTGTAAAATTAGAATCATTTCAAGTAGTGATTGAGATTTTTATTTTGATCTATCGTTGCAATTGAGCATCACTACAATTATAGTAATAGTAATGTTTGAGCATATCTCAATAATATCGTCATTCGTATTATTGACTTTTATCCAAAAATGTCATGAAAATAGCTATCATAGAAATTACGCCATAACACTTGTATACTATTTCGATCACTATGGATTTGCATCTATGTTGATGCTTGAGAACACCAGTGTTAGTGATATTATATTTATGATGCATCAAGTTTATTATCCCATAATATAGATTTTTACAGAATAATCTCCGATATTACGAGTTAGATGCATCATAGCAACATTAGTCAACCAAACCTATAGCAAAATTATCAGTTAGATAAATTTTCTTAACGTTAATGATTATACCAACCACATTAAATTTGTACCGTTTAAGTAATTTGAGGGTTATTCAATTCTAGAGAATTTAACCATTCATTAGTTTTCAAATTTTCTGCTTGTTTTTTTTAAAAAAAATTGCTACTCAACCGGTAAAAAAAAAAAAAAAAAATCATTACTTGTCGGTCTTATCTAAGGCCACAAGGCAATGAATATTTTTTTGCCAAACATTTACGATTTTGTATATCTTTTTAAATGATTTGCATGAACCCTCAATCGTGCGCATTTTATCCCATCTAGATTTTAAATAGGAAATTTAAAGTAGATATAATTTAGGCCAGAGAGTATAATGTCGGGCGGAATTAAGAAATAGGAAAGAAATGTTGACCGGGTAAAATAGCCACCCAAAAAAGTTTCGAAAATCATGATAGTAATATTTAATAAAGTATTAATTGATTTGGTAAATGATTTCGATTCTTCAAAATGTAAAACGATCGTTGCAGTATTTTAAAAACATAAAATCCAATAACAATATTCTAAAAATACACATTGTTCGCCGTAACCAAATTTCCACTAATGATATATGAAAAAAGGAATAAAATTATAAAACCTAACTATAAAAATGCAATTATACCAGAAAATTTTATAGATTTTATTTTGAATACTATAACTCTGATTATTTATTTGAGCAAAAAATTTTATAATTCTGAATCCAGAATGCATCAAAAAAATTATTGAAGAAATCATGATTAATCCAAATAGTAGATAATAAAATTTTGAGCCATTGCATAAATTGGAGTAATAAATATTACGTTTATTGAGCTTATTGAAATAATAAAATGATTAATTTGTTGCTTATTGTTATTATTTTTTAGTCTATAATTTTTTTTTGGTGCTCGTCAAAACTTTTTAAGAGGGATGTACTTACACTAATTAAACATGACGAACCCAAAATTTCACTAATCTATCGTTATAGCCTTTAATACCAACACTAACCTAAACTTCTATATTTTACGCACTTAATTTTTTTGGGTGTTGTTTAATTTTTTTGGGTGTTGTTATCGTTATCGTTATGCTTAAATTTTTATTTTTAGTTAGTGCCATATTATTCTATTGTCATTTTATGAATCTCTTATTTTAGTATAGTTTGTGGCACGGTTGAATAATTAAAGCTCCAAATCCCCAAATGACTGATTAAATTCCCAAACGACTGATTAAATCTCCAAACGACTGATTAAAACCCCATACGAATTAAAGATATACTGTATAAAGGTATAGTTTTAGATTATTAGTAGGAAGGACAATTATGGACGATTGTTAATAGTTATTAATAGTATTTAGTATTATTGTATAATCCGATGTATTGATTTATATTAATAAAGAGAAACCTTAACCAGTAATTATATGGGGCGTCGTCAATCAAAACGTAGCTTAGTGGATCATTTTCCGAAAATTGTTACGCAAAGTGATAACAATTTTCGGAAAATGATCAATCCAACAACGCCACATATGTGTTAGTTTATCGATTTAAACCATTTACCATTAACCACTATTTGTTCACGATCGAAGCTAAATTGGTCTAAGACCCTATAATAAGCTCTCCCACCGATCGTAACAGTGTCCGAAAAGAAAATGAATGAATACAAAAGGCGGAGAGTGTCGGGCAAAATATAGAATCAAGAAATTATCATAACGTGCGCCTTTTTCCCATCACTAACCATTTCGATTTTGTTACATAATTCAACTAATGAATTAATCAAAAACATAACCATTTGACTTTTGTATCACTTTGACTAAACAATAAACGTCCTCCGCTATACTCTGGAAAATTAATATATCTATTTAGGCTTGATTTTCCATCATTCTTGAATCTATCAATTCTTCAGCCTCAACTTTTTTTTTTCGCTTTTACATTCAAGAATTCAGTGTTCGATAAAGACATTTAAATTATATGCATTTTACACTTTTAATACTTTCCCTTAAGTTATTTTCTATTATATATTTTCCTGTTGACCAGTACATAGTATTTTTTTTTCTACTTTAAAAACAAAAATGGACTCTAACCAACTTCGCTCACTTGGTTACGAACATCAACACGGTATTGGTGTTGAAAAAGACGAAAAGAAAGCTTTTGAATATTATATGAAAGCAGCTGAGTTAGGAAATTCGACTGCGATTAATGATATTAGCCTTTGTTATTTACGTAGAATTGGTGTAGAAATAAATTATCAAAAATAATTTGAGTATTCTAAGAAATCCGCTGATTTAGGTAATGCTTGTGGAATGTGTGGTGTTGGTTATCGTTATGCATATGGAATTGGAGTTAATCAAGATTTTGATAAAGCAATTGTATACTATAAAAAAGCAGCAAATATGGGTTCTAATTCAGCAATGTTTAATCTTGCTCAATATTATCGAAATGGTATCGGCATAAAGAAAGATATTCAGAATGCAAATTATTGGTTTACAAAATATAGAAGTAATTTGAAAACCAATAAATCTCCTGATCATATTAACCCTGGACTTAAAAGAATATTAGATGATGAGAAATTTAAATTATTTTGGATTAATTATAATGAATTCAGATATATCAAGGAAAAGGGAAAAGGAGGATTTGCATCTGTATATCATGCACATTGGGAAGATACAATTAATGGTGAATGGAAAAATGTTGCACTTAAAGTAATTCATAATTCAAACGAAAATGAACAAGAATTTATCCAGGAATTAAAAAATTATTGTGAAATTGGTTATAAGAATCCTTCATTCTTGGGGTGTGATGGAGTATCAAGAAATAGTTCTGGTGATTATATTATTGTTTTGAATTATGCGTTAAAAGGTTCATTACGACAAAATCTTACACAAGTATCACAATTGGAATGGAAAGAAAAATTGAATCTCTTGCACAGTATAGCTTTGGATCTCGAATCGATTCATTCGCAAGAACTCGTTCACAGAGATTTACACTGTGGAAACATTTTGCAATCAGAGGTATTGTATAGCGCATATATTACTGATCTTGGACTTTCTAGGGAAGTAAAGGAAGGGAAAATTTGTGGAGTTCTGCCATATATAGCACCTGAAATTTTAATGGGTCAACAGTATACTCAAGCGTCTGATATTTACAGCCTTGGAGTTATTATGACAGAAATTTCGACCGGACAAAGAGCATTTGATGAAATACCATTTAATGGCGATCTTGTATCAAAAATTATCGATGGTTCAAGACCTAAAAGTTTAGGACCTGATTGTTATATTAAATTAACTATGAAATGTATGGATAAAGATCTTGATAAACGACCTACTGCAACAGAAATTATTGAAACAATCACTCGTTGGTTAGTCGAAATGGATCAGGAAAATGATAATGAAATCAAAAATCAAATTTTGGAGGCTGATAAGATTAAACCCGAACCAGCTAAACTAACACATTCACAAGATATATATTATAGCAAGCTATTAGATACGAAAAAATTTTCAGAGTATTTTAGTAGGTTAATTTAGTGTAATAGTAATTGAGATCGAATGGTCATATTTTTAAATTAAATTATAAATATGTATTTATTTTTATTTCTGCTTTTTCATTAACTTATTTAAATATACTTATTGATTTTTTGAACTGAATAAAATTATTTTCCTATTTAAGTTCTTGCAAAAACACCATGTATTCAACCTGACAGAAAATATTTCATGTTTAATTGTTGAAACGACAAATCAAAAAATTAATTCTTTTTATTGTAAAATAATTAAATATTAGTAAATATAATTCTCTAGCATATATGTTTCGTATTTATTAATTAAAAGGTTAGTTTATAATTTTCATATTTGTTTATATAATGTACGTCACCCAACCAGATTGCTAAAAATTTATAAATAAGTCCTTTATATATTATCTAATATATCAAAAGGAATCCATTTTCGTATTCTGTAGTATTAAGGTGAAATCCTTTAATAATTTACCAACATCCTTGTTATTATTATAACTTCGTCATACTACATATCACAAGATTCAAATTCCGAATGAATATCTGTAAACACGTTTGTCTGATGCCTCGTAGTCGTTAATGATGAAAGTTTTCTCATTCATCAGGCAAATTTGGCATAGTTAATGTCATCAATCTAAATTATTTAAAGTCAATATGAATATTTTCTCGAGATGTATTCTTTACCTTTAAATTCTAGATTTATATTAAAATATTTTTGTATAACAGAACGGACAAAATGATTTAAGACTTATTATGAATACCCGACACAGTACTATGGATGCTGCGAAAAACATATGCAGGAATTTTATAATTACTATTTTAATACCATCATAAATCATTTCAGATGCCTTTTATACATCATAAAAAACTATAAATTTAAAATTGTTAAATAAATTATATTTTATGATCATTCAAGAAATTATTTGTTATCAGGAAATTAAAGGAATTAGCGTCATATTACAATAAGCATTAAAATTGGCACCAATTTTTTTCATTTGAAAATGCCACTAAAAGAAATAAATAAATTTATGCTTATTTTATCTTAAAAATATCTAGCATTCAAATGAATGCCTGTATTATATTTTAAAATATTTTCTAGCAACCATATAATTTATAAATTTATCATTCATTTGCAATTTTTTGCGCTTTATTTACTAAGTCTGGATTAGATTTTCCTTCGTTGATAATTTGTAAAAGGCTTTTAGTACCTTTAATTGAATAGGTTGTTCGTTCATTTATAAAACATTTGTTTAATAAAGGTATTTCTACCTTTTTTCCTAAATTGCTAAGAAAATAATATATTATAGGTGCGTCAGGAATCCACATAGCAGGTTTGATACTTTCGTAATCTGCATTGGCAAAAAACCAAATTAAATGAGAAACTCCATTTTCATATACAATTTCTTCTTCTACCTCTACTTCGTACGGTGAATTCTGTTCATAATCAACCATCTTATGTTCTTCATTTCTGAGTTTTCTTATTGATTTAATAGTTAATGGTGGTGTTTTCATGTCCTCATTTATACCCCATGGATGAATTAATGATTCAAATTTAATTTTATTTATTGCTTCTCGAGAAGGGAGTTGTTCCGATTCTTTTTTACGAGGAGATAAAATTAAGGAATTTATAGATGTTTCTGTATTTAAAACTTTTGACATAATATCTTTCCATACACTCTCTTCAAGAATATTATGGTAGGGTTTAATATTCTCCATGATTTCTTTACTAGGAATTTGAAAGTATCTAATATAAGGAAGACAATTTTGAAGGGTAACTTTTAAAGATTTAAAATTTTCATCAGTCCATTCATTAAGATTAGGTGGTAAATTTGGAATTTTTGCTTTCCCCCATAAAATAACTTTATGCCAAATTTCTAATTCTTCCATTTGCAAATTATCATTTTTTAAAAGTGCAATTAAAGCATTCTCATGAAGATTTATGAAATCACCAGAGTTAAAAATTACGAGTGGATGTTTGACAAGAATATTATTACAAAATTGTTGTAAATGTCCAAAGTTTTCGTTAAGAAAACTAATTTGATAAATACGAAAAAAATTTAAACGAAGCCAAGATGCATGATTATCAACAAGGTAAGATTGGAGTCGTTCAGTCAATTCTGTAAGCTTAAATTCATCGGCAGCGATTAATAAATCAAATATTGCTGAAACTTCAAAATTTTCTAAAGAAACTGTACCGCCATAAATATATCTATATGACAATTATTAAGAAAAATATTAAATTACCATTTTTTTTAAATACAATTATAGTAATTTGCTACAACTTACTTAATAATAATATTAAATAATTTGACAGAAATATGAGGTAATTTAATTTCAATAATATTATTTTCCTTAGACGCACTTGTTAATTTTTGTCGAAAGTATAATGAACGTTGGTACAAGATTGCTGAATGTCCTTTGAAAAGTTGAATATTCGGTCGTTCCCCAACTTCAATTGCTACATTATGATCATATTCACTTTCTAGAAGTTGCGTAAAATCTTGAGAAAGTTGTTCAAATAATTTTAAGGTCATTCTTATTTTACGACGTATTATTGTAAAATTTTTGATTATATTCACTCTATATGTAATACAAACCTTAAAATAGTAACTTATACAAAATGTCTTTGTGCGTAGTAATGCGTTATTACAGTATTACGTTACAAATGGAGTGAAGATTATTCTATAAATATAAAAGTTATGCATTGTTATATTTCCAGAGCTAAGAAATTTCATTTGTTAGCTAATATTAGTAATACGTATCAGGCCTGGTGTGATGCGGGGAAAACGTACGCCTTAAAAATCCCTACTCGTTAGGGTAAACCTCCCAAAAGGTTTGCGTAACGTTCAGCGATCTTACTATAATGTATCGAAAGAGGACGTTCGATTTGGCGGAGCCAAATAGTGATAGTTTATTAATTATAGTGTTCGTGAGACACTTTACATACTAATAAATGCTCACGCTTATATAATAATTACATATCTACTTATTATGCTATATTCGCTAATTATGCTAGTTATTCTATATACGCTAGTTATGCTACTTCGCTCAATTATGCTACTTATGCTAGATCTACTCTATATGCTACTTTCGCTAAATCTGCTGTATCTGCAAGCTATATTAAATATGAATGTAAATAATTATGCAATCGTTCCATAATTTGCGATCTTTTTCTAATCGTTACACTGGTCTAAAAATACGAAAGATTATAGACTTCACTATAAAATGTAAACAAGCAAACTTTGAATGTTCACATTGTTATCTGTTGACGGCATATTGATACGTATAAGAAATCTTTGATATAATAAGATATCCTCAACATAAAAACTCTCGATATAAGAAAGATTTTACAAGCCTCAAATAAAATTTATGATATAAAAATATCTCGAAACAAGAAAGTTTTGACTGTACTCGGCAACTTTCTTATATCAAGATTAACTTGTATTATTACGCCTCCTATTATATAAAGTCAGTTGAAATTGCGATTAAACCGTCTGTATATGAAATTTCTATTTATAACTTGCTTTGACAAAAAAATATCAAGCTAATATTTTCATTTATAGCCAAAAATCTACAAAAAAATTTTTATATGATTTAAAAATTAGAAGTTGATAAATTTAATGACTACATCAATTCTCGAAATTTTCTACTTTAATTTACTATTTTTTTATCACCTTTTTTTCGATCAATGATTTATATCGTACTTTTATTATTAAAATGCACCTACTGTATGTGTTTTATACCTGTATTAATCAATTAGCGTGTGATATACCATTACTAAGTAAAATGTTCTGCACAAAAAATCTATCCAATTTAAAAAAGTATTATATATAGAGTTTATAAAATATTAAAATCGTAATAAAACATTTATAAGTACAAGTCTTTATAAACGAATGCTATAATACGTAATACACGTAATATTTCGCTTTAAATATAATTATGAAGCAATGCGTATACATATAAAAGATAAACTTAAATATGGGGCAAGTACAATTATTAAAGAATATAAATATAAAAATTCGTTAATTTAAACTAGTCTAGACTGGTTCATAAATTTTGTATTAATCATATTTGCTCATATATGCACTAAGTATTATTTTTACTATTCGTCTTAAACTAAGTTAATTTTTCTTAGAGTTATTAAAATTATTATTATTATTATTTTATACGTAATAAAATGGTTTAAATATATTTAATACATTAATAAGGAATATAATTTCAAAAAAAAAAAAAAATACTATCTAAAATTAAATCGAATGCACTAAACTTTACAAATTTTAAATACTTCAAATTCATCTATAGAAAACCAACCCTTTATATTCCTTATAGGCTTTTCATAATCAAAATTCTTACAACGCCATTCTTTAAGAGTAAATTTAGGATACCTTCCCATACCAAAATCACAATTACTAAACCATGGACCATATGATATACTACCATAACAAATTGCGTTTGATGAATTTTTTACACGACTAAGAATTGATTGATTCATATTTCCATTTTTTAATGAAAAAATAAAACTATCTTCTGTTGTTGCATATTCACCGTATTCTGCATTAGAAACTTTCCAAATAAGAGGATTATAACCACCAAGTATCTCATTCGTATTATTAACCTTTACAACAACAACAGTACCAGGTTTATCACTACATAGCCTATGAAATACTTTACCTGTAAACCCATCCCTACTACCTCTAAGTAAAAGTTTAAATTCATATGGAATTTCTGTAGTATCATAAATTGTTGAACGTCGATCAATCCAGGATGAAATCTCTGCTGCATGTTGTAATGTGATTATAGAAGAAGATGGTGTAATAATAGACGCTTTTCGAGGAGGAAGTTGTACCGTTACTTTTTTACGAGGAGGTAAAATTGGTGTATTAATAGGCATATCCGGAGCTAAATATTTTGCTAGAATATCGTCCCATATACTCTTTTCAAGGATAGTGTGATAAGGTTTAACTTTCGTTAAGATATCTTTACTAGGAATTTGAAAGTATCTAATAAGAGGGAGACAATTTTGAAGTGTAGTTTTTAGAGACTTAAAGCAATCATCTGTCCATTCTTCAAGGTCAGACGGCAGCTCTGGAGTTTTTTCTTTTCCCCATAGAATAACTTTATCCCAAATTTCTGATTCTTTCATTTGCAAATCATCTCGCTTTAAAAGTGCAATCAAAGTATTCTCTTGAAGGGTTTTAAAATCATCAGATTTAAAAATCATACGAGGGTGTTTTTCAAGAATGTCATCACAAAATTCTTGTAAAGCTTTAAAATTTTCATTATCGAAGCTTAATTGATAAATTCGTGAAAAATTTAAACGAAGCCAAGAAGAATTATTATTAATAAGATAAGATTGAGTGTGTTCAATTAATTCTGTGAGGTTAAATTCATTTAGAGCAACTAATAGGTCAAATACGACTGAAGCCTCGGAATTTTCTAAAGAAACTATGCCACTATAGATATATCTACATCATATAGTTAAAAATATGTAAGTTTTTATTATTCTTTGCAATAGAAATAAATCAACATAATATTTAATTTAATAATTTACCTAATAATAATATCAAATACTTTGCCGGAATGATTTGGTAATTTAAGTTCAATAATATTGTTTATCTTGGTCGCATTTGTTAATATTTGACGAAAGTATAATGAACGTTGATATAATATAGATGAATGAGCTTTAAAAAGTTTGATATTTGGTTGTTCACCAACTTCAATCACTACATTATAATCATATTCATTTTCAAGAAGGTGTATAAAGTCTTGAGAAAGTTTGTTAAAAATTTTTACGCTCATTTTTAAAATTCAGGAGAGTGCTGAACCTGATTGATTTCTAATAATATGGCTTGTACTTTATGTAGTGTATGACAAACGGCTAAATCCGCAATCATGATACCTTTGACAATCGATAATCTACGGAATACATAAATAATTTGTAATCCGGTTTAATATTTCCTTTAAAGAATAAAAGCGACCACCAAATAATCACTCCTGATGTTACATTAAAGTTATCAGTAAAATAGTAATCAAAATTCAAGATAAGATCTATTTCACGTAATGAAACTTAGGCAGAATCCTGTATGAAACTTTATCATGTTATGATACGAAATAATTATTCTCTCAAGTTGATGACGATGCTAAATTCGTTGCGTAAATAGGACAAGATTAATTATTTATCGATACAAGGATAATATCCTAATAGTTTAGAAATTAAAAAACTGAAAATTTTGTTACTACCTTCTTCATTTTGTATATACTAATTCGTATTTCAAAAGATTTACTAAATGGAGTATCAGTTGATAATTTATTATTGTTATCCCAAGTTAATATTGTTGATATTAATAATAGATTAAATTAGTAAATGTAAATGATGTAATTCTTTCTCCGATTCAATTTTATAGGGATATTTTATAGGCCATTGCATCATTCTACAGATCTTTGCAGTATTAGTGCGACCAATAAGAAATGCTTTTGATAAAATGGGATCTAATTTAGTTTTGATCATAGCG